CTTAACCAACTGAGCCACCCAGGCGCCCCTTGATACTCATTCTTTATCACCCATTCTTTACCACTCCATAATTCAGATCAATAATTCAGGTCCAACTTAGGCTTTTGAGTGTGACAAGCTAATTTAATATGAAGCCATCTGATGCCCTATTAGGACTTCTTTATCCTCCTCAATTAAAAATAAAACGCTATATAAGACCTGGAAGGGCCAGGGTTGGACTAGTCAGTGTGAAGGGATACTAAAAAAGTGAGGTGGGTGGAGATTTTGCTCCATCTTGTATATTTCATTCTAGATATGTATTTCCAAAACAAGGTTTTTTTATAAGCCAGAAAAAGAATTTTAAATGGGGCAGGTGAATACTTTCCATGTAGGGAAAGAAAGCTAGGAACTGGGAGTATCTTCAAAATAAGAAAGTAATGCTTACTAACTTTCCCTCCAATTTCCAAGATCCTCTGAGTATTTGAGGGATGACTTGGGTAAGTGACAACGGCTCTCTCTTGTCCTTACAGCTGGAAGACCCAGGGGAAGGCCAAAGCTCAGGTGCCCACATGATCAGCACAGCCAGGGTACCTGCGGATAAGCCAGTACGCATCGCCTTCAGCCTCGATAATGCCTCAGGTACGCTCTGCATGCAGGGAGAGGGCCACCTCCCTGCCCGTCACCGCTTTGCGGTCATCTTTTCCTGTTCCACAAAGGGTGTTTAAAAATGGATGCCTGGGGATGCTTGGGTGGCTCAGTCGGTGAAGCATCTGCCTTCAGCTCAGGTCATGATCCCGGGGTCCTGGGATCGAGCCCCGCATCGGACTCCCTGCTCCACGGGAAGCCTGCTTCTCCCTCTCCCTCTGCTGCTCCCCCTGCTTGTGCTCCCTCTCTCTGGCAAATGAATAAATAAAAAAAAAAATCTTTAACAAAAAGAAAAAATGCATGCCTGGCATGACCTAATGATGGGGCGTGTGATTTTTCATCAAGCATTATTGGAGCGTGGCTTCCAGAAATGCCTCTGGTGATGCCGCCCCAGCCTCCGATCCTCTGTGCTTTAGTACATTTCTCCTTCCTTTTTACTTTCCCCATTTAGCTTTCTTTTATTATAAAATTCCCAGGGCTATAACAATTCCTAATGATTCCAACGTATGTCATCATTGAAACTGTGTGAGGAGACGTTTATTAAAGCACTGGCAGTTGGTTAGGTGATGTAAAAATATCACGGTTCCAGCAGCATTTCTTGGAGCCCAAGTTCCAAAGCCTGGTTTCTCACTGGTGCTTCCACAGTTCAGGCTGAACAAACAGACTGCAGCCAGAGTGATGAATGGGACAGGTGAGGCAGACCCTCTTGAAATAGTAAGGTCTGAGGTGAAGCTGCCATACTTGGAGCCCTTTGTCATGACTCCCTTCAGTGACCTCTTAACACACATATTGAATTATACCACCTATGACGGGGACCCCAGGTGGTGTGAGGTCACAGACGTGAGGAAGGGAACTCTTGGATCTCTGTCACTGGCATCAGCCTTGGCTCTCAGTCTGTCATCGGTTAAAGTCCACAATCACATGCTCAAACAACATTACTGTTTCAACCTTGGGTCTTTTGAGGGCTGATTCTGTTTACCTATCGATCGATCAATCAATCAATCAGTCATCTATTTTTCTTCCTACACTGCCCATGTAGGGGTAATATTTTAAGAAGTAATAATTGACAAGAAGCAAGTTTATCCCTAAAATAGTGCAAAGTAAGGATCTGGGCTCTGTGAAGTCTGGCATTATGCAGCCAATTCAGGCTTTACTTATACCAAGCGATTATGGTGGTGGCCCGTCTGCCCCCGTTTTCCTGGATTGTGCAGCCCCCAGTGGAGGATTTGTTCTAGAGTAAGATGAGGTGAAGCCTTGACTCTTCATTGTCTGTTCTTTCAACCCTCTTTCCATGGCCTGCTGTTGTCCTGGATCTCCACTCGGGTTGCCTTGAAACACAGTGGTGAAGGGAAATCCTCCCAAAAGGCAAACCAATCCATCCCAACAAAGAAATGATGACTAACATTAATTGCATTTCTTTTGTATTAGGCATTCATATGTATTATTTCATATCTCTAAAATAACCATGCAATGTAGGGGCGCCTGGCTGGCTCAGTGGGTAGAGCATGTGACTCTTGATCTTGGGGTCCTGAGTTCAAGCCCCATACTGGGTGGAGAGATTACTTAAATAAGTAAATATTAAAAACAATAACTATGCAATGTAGACATTAGTATTGCCAATTTGCAGACACAGAGCTTGAGGTCCAAAGACCACACTGTTAGTAGGTAACAGAGTTATGATTTAAATGCAGGTCTCTAGACTTATGAATCTGAACTCTATTATTCTATATTACTACTCTAAAAAGAAAAAGAAAAGCCCCTCCTGCTTTTATGCATTTCATAAATGTAAGATTTTGAGGAATAGTTCATGCTTGAGTGGCTAGCTTTCAAGACAGATACATGTAAGCTCCCAAATCTGGGAGAAAGAAGTATAATTTACTTCCTTGTGATCATGTCCCATGTGAGCAGAACAAGTGTTGTTACAATCAGCAGTCTTACAAAGACAATTTCAGTATATAAAGCTTATTTATTCCAAGCAATATTATTATATCATAATTTTGGACGAGACAAATAAATATACTGTTTCTTCATCTTTATTAATTTATTAAGATTTTATTTATTTTTGGGAGAGAGAGAGAGAGAGAGAGAGAATACGCACGAGCAGGGGAAGGGGCAGAGGGAGAAGCAGAACTCCCCACTGAGCCAGGAGCCCGATGTGGGATTTGATCCCAGGACCCTGGGATCATGACCTGAGCCAAAGACAGACGCTTAACTGTCTGAGCCACCCAGGCACCCTCCTCGTCTTTATTTTAACAAAATTTAATTTATGTACAGAAAAGAGCCATGGAGAGGTGAATCTTGATCTTTGGGTTGCATAAATAGATTCTTCCTTGAAATACAAAATACACAACTTGTCATTAATTTGCCACCATCCTTTGAAGGATATCGGCCCCTGACTAGGAGCTCTTGTATGTTTTTTTAATCAGTCAATTTAGATTGATTCGTTCCAGTCTTTCAAATGTCCCAAGAATGCCCACTTTTGAAATTCATGTTTTTTAATACGGTAGCTTCAAAAAGGGGTTGTCATTTATTTCAAGTAATTCCTACTCTCTAGTTCCACAAAAAGATGCTTGGGAAGATTTGTAAAGAAACTGCTAAAATTAAAAAAGAACTTTTTCCTATGATCTATGTGTCCTCATATCTCTAAAAAGGCATCTAACTAGAGAATCCAAGGCAGGAGTGGGTTTCTGTGTTTCTTAACCTTTCTTAAAATAATGACCTGAGAGCACTCACCAAAAATACATGTTCCAAGGCCCTACTCCTATATATTCTGGGGCAGTAGGGACAGATGGAGGTCCAGCAATCTGTATTTCTGCATGCATATGAAGTTGTGAGTGCACAGAAAGATGCTTTGCAGATATTTGGAGACACTCCCTCTGAATTCTTGACTATGGAGCCTGTGGAGTGTCATGGAGAACAACACTTGCCATCACGCATGCTGTGCATGCCTTTTGAATTCCGCTGCATTCTGGACCACACATTTAGGGGGAAAACAAGGGCAAGCATCCTAGATTTCCATAGTAAATGGGGAAACTAAGATGGAATTTTGGTAAGTAATTCCATATTTATGGATTTATCACTGAGGGGTAAGCAGAGTCCATGAGAAAGGAGTGCTCATTCTTTTCATTATATTAGGCTTTTTTTTTTTTTTTGCATATTTTTCTGAGATGATTTGGTGTAGAGGTTAAGGACATAGGGCTTGGAGTCCTCAAGACATGGTTTCTAGACCCATCTCCATCGCTATTTGTGTGATCTTGGGTAAGTCACTCAATTTTGCTGAACTTCAGTTTCCCACAAGGTGTATATAGTGATAATTCACACAGTGGTTGTAAGAATTAAATAAGACTATATAGGTAAAGCATTTAGCATAGTGCTTGACACAAATTAAGGACTCGACTGGTCCTTGTATCTATGATAATTGATTCTGGAGTATTAAGGAGAATATAAGCATCTTAAGCAGTTTTAAGGATTTGGGGTACCCCTGCCTCTCCTCTTATCAATTAGCTGAACTTAGTTTCTATGCTTTAGTGCTCTCCCAAAGGTGGGTGAGATGTGCAAATACGAAGTATGGCATGATCCCTCCTGTGGGTTTCATAAGGCAAAGAGAGTTGAGGAAAAATCTGTGTCACCCAGAGCAGATGGGAACAGCTTCTTGGGAAATGTGATAGTCAACCTGCTCTTGAAGACAGGTGGGGTATTGACAGACAGTGTAGGAAAGGTGCCAAAAATGGGGGCTATCCAACTTTTAACCATTCTTCCTTTTCCTTTCAAACAAAAAGACTGAGCAAAACCTAAGAGTCAGGAAGAGCATGATATATCCATCAAATAGTAAAATTCTTGTCAACTGGAGCAGAGGTTTGAATGGTGGAAGAGTGGCATGTCATTTAACGAATGATGCTTTGAGCTTTACTTTGAATATCTGTGTTTATAGCCATCAACTAGAGTTAACAATATAATCCTAAAAGTTCAACAACAGAGTTTGGATTTGATCAGGAACAATCGAGTGTCAAAAGTTCTTGAGCAAGGAAATGATAGGATGAAAATGGTAAATGTTCGATTGGTGGAACAGTCTGGAATGTGTAGAGATGAGAGAATGGAAGAGGCTTTTTATAATGGTACAGAGACAAAGTACTGAGTGCCTGGATCAGACGATGGAATGGGATGACTGAATTCAGAGTACATTAGGAAGGGAGGGTTGAAAGGACTCGGTGACAGACTGGCTCTGGATGGGGAGTTGATCATGGCTTATTGATGGCAGAATGTGCCACAAGACTCCAAATAGACTGTGGACCTCCAGGGGCTTAAATACAGGAAGCAAATTTTTAAGGGGGGAGAAAAAGCCCTTTAAAATACAATCACCACTTCTAGCCTATCATCAGAAGCCTTCATTAAGTAACACTTAGCTAACCACAGTTCCTGGAGGCAGCAATGGCTATTTTTAACAAACTAATGATATGATTGACATTACTTCTAAACTGGGAATTCCAAAGAGTTAACTTTCTAAATTGGGACATTCATGGAGTTAGTTTTCCCAATAGAAAATATGCAGAAGAGAAACATGAATCCCATCTCTTGGGTTATTAGAGAATCACTGGCTCTTCTCCAGCTGGAGAGAATTTAGAGTTGGACTGACATGAGGATTTCATGTTCATTACTTGAGAGTTTTCTTTATTTCAGTCAAGCTATAAAATCTGCTACACTCAAGTGTGAATTTATACCTTGGCTGTAGGGTTCTTTTGGTGGTTGTTGTTGTTATGTTTTTAGGGTTTTTTTAAGAAGGAGTCAAGGATACTAGTATCAGCCCAAGCCAGTAGCTTTCAACATTTTGTTTTTAAAAAATTCTTTCAAGCTATTAGAATTTTTCATATCTGGGCTTGAATTAATCATATGACATTTAGTTAAAAAAAAAATCCAGGACCCATTCTGTTGAGATCTCTTTTAAGTAGTACTATTCTCCTTACATATCAGGGTGTTTGTGTGGCAGCGGGAATCAT